AACAGTCTCAAATTGTCTGTTTTAACATGCAAGCAGTCTTTGACAGACTTGTGTTACATCTGAGTAGTCTGTGACATTCTTTTGTTTCAGTAAAGCAGTCTATGACAGTTTTTTGTTACATTGGAGCCATCTATGCAAGTCTATTGTTACATTGCTGGAGTCTCTGACAGTCTTTTGAAAATACGGTTGCAGTCACTGACAATATTTTATAATATACACTATCTAATTATTCTCCGATAGAGATTGTTTGCAAGAAATAATCTGACAGTCTTTTGTTACATCAAGCAGTCTATGACAGTATTTTGTTACATTAGAGCAGTCTCTGTCAGACTCTTGTAAACACTAGCAGTAGATTGCAAGTTGGGACATCAATTCTGACATTGAGAAACTTAAATGAAAAGTTTTGTGATCAAGAAACATTTTCTTCAAACTGTTCTTTCTTTTTTTATGAAAGTTGTTGCTGTTAAACCCTACCTATTTAACCTTGTTCATTAATGTTAGGCTACAACGCACTGTAAGCATAGCTTACATTTTGAATTTTACTCTTATGTCCTGGTTATTGCCCCCTACCCCAGTCCAACACTACTGATGCCTGCTTCACAAAGCGACTTTGCTATCAGGACAAGAGGACACTGAGTAAAGTATTTTGCTATATCCCTACCAATCCCCAACCAGCACCTGACATTATGCACCACACCACCAATTGCTGCCCCATCAACTCAGCCCAGATCAACCAAGGAATCACAAGGGAATTATAATGAATCAGTCAGAATTTTCTGACACATTGGATTTTTTCTCTCTCTGCACCAGTTAACTTAGGTATCCTGTTGTGAACATTTCTAGACCAGATATTTTACAGTCTTGTATGAGTGTTGCAAAAATATTTGTAATGTGCAACACTTTTTGTAATTTGACTATGTTTCGGTAATTTCCAAACAGGTCACTATCTAAATAGAGAGTTTGAACCCCCAAGCTTCAGGTTCCTTTGGATTTCTTTGACAACAAAAAGAATACAGTGATAGTTCAAATGTAGGCTAAATTGAAATGATGGCATGGAAATATATGGTTTAAAAGGTTGTTATGCTATTCTCACAGCTAAAATGAAGCTGCACAACTAAACAGTATATACCAAGGAACCTCAACCGAGGTTCGGACGCAGAACCACCGTTGCAAACAATTTGTATCCGTCCAACAGTGGCTACAGTGTTTTCCCAGCAGCTACTAGGGAGGGGAGCAGTTTGTCTCTCCTGGGAACAGACACTTTCAGAGAAGAGGCTATAGTGCTCCATTTTTTCAGCAGATACTACAGTACTCCACTTTCACGCTGAAGAGGATACTGAAAAAATATCATATAAAGCAATAGTGAGTAAAGAGTACAGTTTTCCATCTAAAATAGGAGGTGGAGTGGGGGAGTTAAAAAAAGCACACTTAAACACATACTAAATGCACATTTTCAGCTACACTATATTACCAAATGTATTGGGACACCCCTCCAAATCATTGGATTCAGGTGTTCCGTGAAATTTTCTTGCTACTGAATATTCCACGGTCACCTGTTACTGGTATTATACAAAGTGGAAGCAACTGGGAACAACAGCAACTCAGCCACGAAGTGATAGGCCACATAAAATGACAGAGCGGGGTCAGCAGATGCTGAAGTGCACAGCGAGCAGAAGTCGCCAGCTGTCTGCAGAGTCAATAGCTACAGACTTCCAAACTTTGTGTGGCCTTCAGATTGGCACAACAGTGCATAGAGAGCTTTATGGAATCGGTTTCCATGGCCGAGCAGCTGCATCCAAGCCTTACATCACCAAGTGCAATGAAAAGCATCGGATGCAGTGGTGTAAAGTACGCAGCCACTGGACTCTAGAGAAGTGGAGATGTGTTCTCGAATCACACTTATCTGTCAGTGACGAATCACACTTATCTGTCTGGCAATCCGATGGACTTGTCTGGGTTTGGTGGTTGTCAGGAGAACGGTACTTGCCTGACTGCATTGTGCCAAGTGTAAAGTTTGGTGGAGGGGGGATTATGGTGTGGGGTTGTTTTTCGGGGGTTTGGGCTTGGTCCTTTAGTTCCAGTGGAGGGAACTCGAAAGGCATCTGCATTCCAAGACATTTTGGACAATTTCCTGCTCCCAACTTTGTGGGAATAGTTTGGGGATAGCCTCTTCCTGTTCCAACATGACTGCGCACCAGTGCACAAAGCAAGGTCCATAAAGACATGGATGAGTACGTTTGGGATGGAGGAACTTGACTGGCCTGCACAGAGTCCTCACCTCAACTAGATAGAACGACTTTGGGATGAACTGGAGTGGAGACTGCGAGCCAGGCCTTCTCGTCCAACATCAGTACCTGACCTCACAAATGCGCTTCTGGAAGAATGGTCAAACATTCCCATAGACACACTCCTAAACCTTGTGGACAGCCTTCCCAGAAGAGTTGAAGCTGTTATAGCGGCAAAGGGTGGGCCAACTCAATATTGAACCCTACAGACTAAGACTGGGATGCCATTAGAGTTAATGTGTGTGTAAAGGCAAGTGTCCCAATACTTTTGGTAATATAGTGTAGTACTGGTAGTCTTTTTTTATAAGAGAACAACAGGCCAGACCACTCTGGTGCAAGCATTTCAGAAGTAGAACTACTATTTTCAAGCAGTGCGTAACAGTTCTGAACACCAATACAAAGTTCAATTTTTGCCCTGAATGCAAAGTTACAGGTTTTCTCTAAGCACCAATGCAAAGTAAGCTGTACCAGTGTGCAATGATGTAAAGTTACTATTGCAACTGAACACCAATGCATATGTACTGTTTTTTTTAGATTTTGTCATTTAAATTTTGACTGTACCATACCATGGGTCGAAGATCAGAAAATGTTTCAGAGGTTCTGAGATTTATTTAAGCATTCCACTAATGTAAAATGGTTGTTATATACTGTATAAGGCACATTAAAGTGACACTAAAGTCAGGAGTTAAATCTTAAATACGCAATCAATTACCTTAACTATTAACAGAAATGTAGCTTATTTGTGTATTACTCAGCTGTAGATCTTCAAATCATCTCTGAGTTCATGCTGACACTGTCCTTCCTTCTGGTTCCCATGTGTGTTTTAAAGTAGACGCCGCTCCAAGCTCGCTCCCCTGATGGACTATAATCACATGTTTTGTTTACTAATTTGGATTGAGATTGTAGTCCATTACATGAGCAAGCTTGGAACAGTGGCTACTTTACAACACACACAGGGACCAAGGGGATCAAAAGTAACCACCCTCCAGAAGGAAGGGCGGTTTAAAAAGAATTTAGTAAGTCTTACCAAATTAAACATTCTTTATAACATGCTTTAAAAAAGAACTCTGAATTGGTGCTGACATGGTCCTTCCTTCTGGAGGGTGGCTACTTTTGTTCTACTGGTCCCTGTGTGTGTGTTGTAAAGTAGCCACCACTCCAAGCTCGCTCCTGTTATGGAATACAATCTCACGTTTAGTTTACCAATTTGTACTGAAAGTATAGTCTATCACGGGAGTGAGCATGGAGCGATGGCTACTTTACAACACCCACAGTGACCATGGGGAACAAAAGCCAGCCTACAGAAGGAAGGACAGTGTCAGCATGAATTCAGAGATTATTTGAGGATCTACAGCTGAGTGATACAGAAATAAGCTGCATTTTTTTTTAGATTTAACTCCTGAGTTTAGTGTCACTTTAATGGAAGTGTGTAAAAGAATGCCAAGTGTTACTAGAGCTGTGTATAACCATAGAAAGGAAACCTCACAATTGTCTGCTTTTCAGTTAAAACATAAAACAAAGCAGTAGATTGGATTTCATTTTTAATACAAATCAAAGATTTTTTGTTGGGTTCTTCTTCATACAATTTAAATATTGCATATAAATTACTATACATAATCAATATTTTAGTTATTTTTTAATGACAGGCAGAGCTGTGTGCAAAGAGAGAGGAATTGAAGATAGAGGTGGTTATATACAAAGGGGTTTATGTTTTACTCCAGATGTGCATATCTGACTTAATGGAAAAACACATAACCTATAAATGCGGCCCATGTATTGTGATGCCAAAGTGAAACACTTCCACCTCCCGACAGTGCTAGCATGATGGTACTACTAAAAAGGTGAGGTTTAAATGCTGCAGGCTACTGGCAATCAGAAACGCTAAATAACTGCTAGTGATAGATAATGTCTTATGCATCTCTACGGGCTGATAAAACTTTGTAGAGTGTTAGGATTTAGCTTCTGTTTTGCATAAAAGTCCATTTCCTCACCCCAGTAAACCAGGCTGGGAATACAGAAGAAGTCCAAATGATGTCATACATTACAATACTAGGCACTAGGCATAGGGTCTGAGAGTGCATACAGTTACAATCTGCTTAGCCTGATTGGAGTTTGGAGCAACACAGGTTTACATGGCTGGAGTAAACACATCAATGAACCACCCAAGTGTGTCAAGAAATCGTACACGTGGCAGAAAACACTAGGAAATAAATAAACAAAAATGCATTAAGTCAGTTTTTAAGGGCTACATTCTATAACAATTCCTTGTATTATATTTCTTAACAGCATCCGTATTGCAGAGTTGTATCTGCTGTTTGGTTGAACTACAACTACTAGTAGGCCTGAAGTTACAGCCACAGCAGTTGTTATCCACTGTTTGCTTTCCCTGATATGGCCCATTAGCTTAGAACAATAACAACGTGCAATCTGAGCAAAGGAAACAGATTTTTAAAAAAATATGCATATATTTATATATAAAAATACAAAATAAAAGTACATTAAATAAGGTGTCACTATACATCCAGTGAGTTCCAAATAGTTTGGAGCTTTCCTGTCCCTCCCACCACCCTGAAAAACAGTCAGTCACGAACATTTGTGGGGAAATAGGCAGTTAGTGGTTTTAATCTTGCTGCAGATAATGAAATGTACTTCTGTGAATCTCTTGTTAGGACAAATATCCGATAGGGGTGGCAGGTAGAGGTGGAATACAGTCTCTTTTTATTTGAAAACTGTCTTTGTAAAGCACCAGTGCCAAGTCCGGCGATTAAAATATGCGGTCAGAAGTGAGCCGGAGGACCCCATGGGGGCCAAATGTATTCTTTAGTTATCCTGTAAAATAAGGAAGGAAATGTCAGTGACTATGAAGTTATACAGCAGACCTGCCAACATAAACCATTTTCTTCATGTTTACTTGCTTCCAACTGCAGCAAATTCAGATGAATTTTTGGGCTGAATTAAAATTTGTTCATGTGCATCAGTGCAGCTCAAAAAGCCTAAATATTAAATTGTATCTAAACCCAAGAAGAAAAATTAAATATATTGCAGTCTAACAGTCTTTAGATGTGTGGTTGCATTAGTTTTCATTTTTTTCGTCTACAAGTACAGAAAAATACTTGTTGATCCTACCAGAAATCTTGAGTCCTTGTAACTTCCTGCGTACTGTACTGAAATCTCAAACAATGTAACCAGCCCTCCTAGTTATCTTTGTGAACTGTAAGTCATATATATACCCCGAGGTAATGGAGGGGGGGGGGGTGTTTGTAGTCCAAATCAAGGGAGAAGACTAGGGTGACAATGCTGTTCCTCCAGAGATACAGTGCAGTGTGTAAGCATTATCACCTTAGGACAAGAAGTGGGTTACTAGCAGGATTATCAGGTGGGAAAAAGCATTGAAATAACAAACCCTATGCAGCCACCACATACATTAAAGGTATTGCTTTTAGATTTAGATATACTTTAAGAGAAATAAATAAGAATGACATTTGGCCAGCAATAGGACACATTTATGAATACTAGCACTGATACTGCCCACATCTTCTGATTTGGTAGTGTGTATTGGGAAAATAAATTAAGCTGCATTTTGCAGAAGTAAGGAATCCTATACTGAGAGAAAATGGAAACGGTTATTGCTGATCTCTCTTAAGTACTAGCTGCCTGGCTGTCCTGCTGATGCAAAGGCTACAATACCTTCTAAAGTGCTAACCTAAAACAAATATACAGATCAGAAGTCGTGACCTCACTCTTGACTTTCTAATATTAATGCTTGTTCCATGCCAAAGTAGTGAAGCCGGAGACAGCCAGGCATACAGTCTTCTTAGGGGAGGGCAGTGATGGCAACCCCATACTTTTCTCAGTATGGGTTACCTTTAAAAAAAGCAAAAATTATCTTAACTTATAACACTTAATAGTTTCTTTGTTACAATATCTGAACATATGGGATTATTAGTGGATTGGTTTATTAGAGAAAGAAATCATTTGTGCATTTGTAAAACATGGCACATCAGAAGAAGTTCTTGGGCACAATTGAGAACATTTTTTTTTAGAGACAAGCATATTACATCATGTAAATAATCCATCTTGCCAAAGTAATAATTGCCATGGTCAAAAGAAGTAATAGGAAAAAAAATCTTAGACTACTATAACTATCCTAATTATAATTTACCATTAAGATTTCTGTATTGTGGCTTAGCACAACACTGACACAGTATCGCGTACCTCCCAGAAATCTTTAAAATCTTGGACCCCAACATTAGCACGTTACTGACAACAGCATCAAATGCATACATGTATCTATAACAAGACAAAACCTGCTTAAATAATTGTTCATAGGTCAAATCCAGAGGCATACATTATACTTGCAGACTTAATCTTGTAACTGTAAATTGAAGCCGCAGATTTAAGGTTTAAAGATTTGCTTTTCCCTTCCAATGCCACTTAATCCCACTAGAACTTGCAGCATGTGCCTCTGGCAGTTTCAAGATCAAGTGGATGTGTTAGAAATTGTGGAGGATTACCATCTCTCACCTGTTCAGAGACAGATACTAAGAGCCATTTGCATGGTCATTACGTGACTAGGAGGTCTCTCTGCTCCTTCTTACTGGGAAGATACTTGAATTTTTTATTTTTCTTCTTTGACGGTCGAAGTGGGGGCTCTTCCTTTCGGGCAGCAGTGGGGGGAGGCACTGTAGTTACAGTTACACCTGTGAAATTTATAAAGAAACATTAAAGCCTTTAATGACCAACGCTGTGATTAGATCAATTCTAGCCAACAGTTGCTTAAATTATTTATACTTGAAGTATTTGTAAAATGTAACTATATACAAAAATATCCCATATATACAAACTATGCAATAACAATGCAGTGGTCTATTTCTCTGCTTCGTGAAAGAAGTGAACAATGGAAAGCAGATTTCTATCGCAGAAGGATGTTGCAACAAAAATGTACATATAAAGACCCTTGGTAGCATACATTAATTGGTCACGTTCATAAATGTTGGAAAAGCCTAGCCATTTAAACTGAGGACACTCATGTATTGACTGCTGTGCTATAATAAAATTCAAAAAAGCAGTTAGTGTATACTGAGATGTACCAACTGATTACTAGGGGAATCAGAATAAATCTAGAATAGTCAATAGCAAGAGCAATGAAGCAACAGAGGGCTGTATTTTATAATGCCTAAACCATCATACGTGGGTGCATATTTTTAAAATAACAGACTCATCCCAAGTTTAAAAAAAAATTGTGGACCCCATGGCTTGCTATCATACCTCTAAAAGGGTAACCCCAAGCTGTTACTCCTGTCATATAATATGTATTTTATATAATTAAACGTCCACCCTGAAGTCGGTGCAAGGTTCTAAGATTGGCCTTCCTTAGCATGAACTTTCAAAAAGATACAAACTGCACACTGATCTCCACATATAAGAGCTTCTTCTTTTAGTAAAATCTTTTTAAAAAGCATGTACAAAATCTTGACATGGTTTACAGATGTAGCTTAATCATAAGGCCTTATGATTAAGCTTCATAAGTAAAACTTGTCAAGGTTTTGTTTGTTTATGCAATTTCTACAATTTAACCAGTTGACATCCGCGGTGTTAAACCCCCTTCCCATCCAGGCCATTTTTCAGTATTCAGCGCTGCGGTACTTTAACTGACATTTATTCCGTCATGCAGCGCTGTACTGAAATGAATTTTATACCCTTTTTTGGGGACAGATAGACGATTGCCGCGAACGAGCACATATAGGCGATCGGCGGGCTATGGACCCGCCGATCGCCTATATGTGAAACACCCGGTAACGGGTGTGTGCATTGATCGGGTCTTTTCTGCCCGTGCGTGCCCGCTAGGGGGCGCGCGCGAGCAGAAAAAAATTGCCGTCTGGAGACGGCAACCCGCAGATGCTGCAGTGCCGTCCGTCCGTTTTTTTACTACGGGCGGACGGCAAGAGGTTAACTAAATAAAGAAGCTCTTATGGATATCCATGAGCTGTTTCTTCTGGTCATTGGTTTTCTTGCCCTTTCCACCTCTTGTCCCCCGGTGTTTTTTCACCACATCATTAATCTTCACTTGAATGATACAGACCATTCAAGGTCTAATTCTGCACAATCATATCTTTTATTACTCAAGCCCTATGTGCTTGAGTAGTTGGTTCTATTGATCATACAGTGCACATGTGCCTAAACTATGGACATTGAAGTATTGACATATTTTAAAAAGCGGTAAAAGAGCCTTAAAACAAGCAATCCCTTGCCTCTATAGCTGCTTGTACTGAGAAGTAATTCATTTTTAAAGACAACAAAGGCTCTAAAGTCAGTTTTAGTCAGTCTATAAAAGCTTAGAAGCACCTGTTGTGTGTTTACATTAGAAGGCTGAGAGGCTGCCAAGATCTCTCTGCATTAAGAAGTAACTGGAAAAAAACCACGAATATTTCAGTTGCAAAGAACAAATTTGAATTTCTCTAAAATGCCTATAGGTACACAGGAGAATGAGGGCATGTTTTAAAAAGTTTTTTATTGCTTGTTCAGAATATATAAATGCTTTAGTTTGCATATTCTGGAAACAGCTTTTTACCCTCAGCTTAGGGTCGTGTTTCAGTTTTTTGTTACTTGTTAAAACTAAATAAAGTATATTGAAACAGTAAAAAAAACTAGAACGCACTTAGGATGTAGCAGTAAAAAGCACAACACTCAAAAAAGACAATTACCTGCAGCCCCTCTTTGTTCAATGGAAGTGTGGTGACTTCTGATAGGTAAGGGGTTGACTGACTCACACCTGCACTCCAAATGCTCCTCCAGAGGAATGGGGACAAGTTGAATATCCTTCCTGGATTTCCTGATCACAATTTTCTTCACCTGTACCAATAGCACATATATTAGAACAGGTTCCAACAACTGGATGACTACCTCTACCAGTGTGGTGATTATTAACTCTAGTAAAATTGTCAGTAAACTGTATAAAGTAACACTGTTTGCTGCTTAGCTACAGCAGACCTCATGCCAATCATTACTATTTTCTACATTCTATAGCCAGACCTCAAAGGTTTCCATTATTCAATAAGTGGAAATTCTATCTATTTTCAGAGTCACAGTAAAAAAATCTGGGTTCTTCTCCTCATTCTGCCTGCAGAATCATCATACTGTGCATGGAGCAGATATTTCCATTGCCCCAATCGCAGATTGCAGAATACAAATAATCCAACTTGGAATTTTCCATAGAAAACATCACACTTTTCCAAAGCACAACAATTTCCTGGAAAGTACCCCCAACAGTGGGGTACATAAGCAGCACTGTGAGAAAAATTATCCGCTGTACAAAATCTGTCCAATGTACTCACATAACCTAATTTTATTACATTTAATTTCTGGATGTAAAATGTCAGAAAGCTTCTTTTTCTACTACATTTTTAACATATAAAACACTTGCTTCTAAAGTAGTCCAGCAATGAAATGGTTTGGCTACACATGCCAAACTGTCAGGAAATTTGGCAGACTGTCAAGTATAACATTGCTTTGATCCAATGGAAATGGGGAGGGCTATGCATTCCAGGTGGGATATTTTCTTTTATTTTTTTCCAGTGTGAATGTGTATTTTCAATTAATCAAGTTTTAAATGCTGAAATTTTTTTTTTCTTTCCAAGCTTTTTAGTTGCTTTTCTGTAGCCAACCAGGAAGATGACATTAGTAATCAGAAACGCAGTGAAGTATCAGTGCAATGCAACATTGACATTCTGAATATAGGAATATAATTAGTAAATTAACTTTGTTGTCTTGTCTGAGAAATTCTTATAACTGAACCCCATAAACTAAGCTATAGTTATCTTTGCCATATTAAGTTTTTTTTTTATGCAGAAAAAAATGGTACTTATGTGTAGTTTTGCTACATATAAACAAGATTATAAAGCATACTGAATAATTTAAGATTCCAATAAATGGAATAACAACATCCAATAGGCCAGATAGAAGAACTGGTCATTTAAGTCCTTTAAACGATCCAAAATTTTGGCTCAGGTGGCCGACCAAATCAGCCTTTCAGATTTGGCAAACGAGTGCAGCCAACTCTTAGAGTGCATGGGTAGCATAATCAATAGCGACCAGTCAGTCTGGGCTTTCAGTTTAATCAAACTGTAGAAACTGATCTCCAATTGGTTGTTGTGGTTTGCTGTATATTTTTACATGTTTGGCTTTCAGCACATCAAGATCTTCCTTATGAAGTTTTTTTAGTCAATCACATGATGAAAAAATGCGACATTGCAGGACTGATGTGCCCCTTTGTCAGGCACAGTGACCGTCACAGTGCAGTGCTACAGCACATTAATGTATTACAATTAAATTGGCTACTACTGTAGGGAGCGCTATTTTTGAGGTAATAGGTATGGGGATTCCAGCACTAACAATAAACCCCTGTAAGTTAATACCTATGGAAAATGCAGGCAGCATCATATGTCATAGCCTGTAGTCTCAAGAAAAGGGGGGGTGTCTGACCACCAGGCCACTGGTTGGGTGTGATGTAGTCACTGGTGTTTCAATAAATAGAAATATAATAATTAGTGGGCACCCAGTCCAGTTACCAAGCAAAGGATAAAAACTAGCAGAATAGGAAGACAGGATTTTAGACCATGACACTTAAGATCCATGGTAGGCTAAGCATGGCATACATTTGCTTCCTGTCTGGACTTCAGCTGTAGTAAAAACCAACACACGTCCACTTTGCTAAAATAAACCAATGCAAGATGGATCTTAACGGGTTTCAATGATTACTGCATTAAAAATAAGAACTCTTTACTGAATAAGGCAGTTACGAAAGCTCATTGTGTCAATATGGTCTGCAATTTCTGATATAGGCCACCATGACATGTGGTCATTGTGGTTTTTATGATGGAATTTATGAGCAAATCATGTATCAATAAACAGTAAAAAGAACAACGCAGCAGCCATTTAGCTGATGTTTTATGGTAGACAGGAGCAATTGAACTTCATCTCTTGAATTCCAGAGGACATCTTAACTATCACAATTGGACTTTTTGCTTGACTTGTAACTTTAACTATGCATAGCTGCAAGCTAAAAAAGGACAGCTGAGACATTCAGTACCTGTTAGAGCACTGCAATTTCCCAGGATGGATATTGAATTGTCAGAATTCAATGGTAAAAAAACCCCACAGAATTATGTATTACCTGCACATGTCGGATGCGCATGCGGGACGGAACACATTTTATGTGTCTTGAGTTGCAACACCCTGAGCATCTCTGAACCTCCACACATGGTGGCTGCACAAGGAAGTTGGCATTGGTTGGATCAACCATCTGGCGGGTGATTTCAAACACCTCTGTTCTGGTTTTGCACTCTGCGATCTGGGCCTGCTGAGCATCTGCAAATAAGAAATGTCTCAGGTCAGTGATACAGTAAACAAGCTGCTGAAAGTTTTAAAAATAGCATATTGTGAGTCCACGTGACAGAACTGTGATGCTGACATCAGAGATATACAGCATGGCATTTCTCACCAGTGACAGAAATTCTCTGCTACTACCAGAGATGGATTAAGGCAGAATGGGCAAGCAAGGTAAAATCCCTTCAACTGACACTGATAAGAATTGCAATAGGCATTGAGCTGCTAACTCATTTGCTTGTACTGGCATGACTTCCCATCCGACACCAACTACTAACAAGTGAATTCTCCCTTGTGATGTGACAGGCAGGTGCACAGCCTTGATCAGCTGCGCTATCCCCCTGGTTATCCCCCTGGCATGGCAGTTGTAGCTGGGCCCCTGGGACATCCACTAGGCTCAAGGCTCCTTACTACTGTAGGCTGCCTTGTGGATGGTCTGGCTCTGACTACTACTAAAATGCTACAAAAAGCATCATCTGATTTAACACCAGTGAATTGCAATATAAGAACTGTTACAATGTAAATGCTTTCAGTCTTATAAAGTCAGAAGTTGTGCAAAGGGTGCCTATCTGATACCACCTCTCATGAAAATGTTTGTTATATACTGTGAACAGCTGTGTGCTTTCAGAGTTATATGTAGTTGTGAAACCTTTGTATATGCACAAGTACACACCACAAGTACAATTTTGATAAGCCCAGTTAACCATAAAGTAGGTATGCATGATGTAATTTGCAAGCTATGCCTCTTTGTCATTGAGAAATGGTTTAGCCCAGGGATATCTCTTACCTAAGCTGCGAATGGCCCGGGAGTGGCTGGAATTGCCACTAGGCAAACTTCTTATTTCATTTCTGGTTAATTCGTATAAGTCTTCCTCGTCATCTAGCAAGGGAAATAGGATTTAAAATAGATTTAAAAATGTCCATCTACTATATAATGCCATGTATACTTCAAGGTCAGCTTACAAAGGAAATAGTGCTCTGCAGAGCAAACATCAGCTGTGGTTAAAGTTTAGATTATACAGTATATCTAAGGCCTTGTTCACACCAAGCGCATGCCAGGAGCAGAGCAGAGCAGAGCAGTTATAGACTGGATCAAAACTGTGTCCAATGGTATTTTGGGCTCTGGTTCACACTGCAGCGTTCAGTTCCAGAGCATGTAAAAAAACTGCAGCAAGCCCTTTTTTACCTGCTCTGGAACGCATACAAAACGGATCAAAAATGCATGCAAATGCCATGGAACGCACTAAAAGCCCATTTTAACCTCCCTGGCGGTATTCCCGAATGTAGCTCGATGTTACTTTTCCATAACATAAGCGGTAACCCCGAGCTACACTCGGGAATGCCGCATAGCATTTACTTACCTTGTCCCTCGAGCCACGCTGTGTTCTCCGGCCGATGCCGGTAATCCGTCGCAAGGGCGTACGCGTCGCAGGGGGGCGGAACCGGCGGGATATTAAAAAAAACACGACAAAAACGAAACAAATTCGACAAACAAAATAGAAGGAAAAATTACACGAAAAAATTTTAAAAAACCATACCGCCAGGGAGTTTAAACTAAAAAACGGCCAGGACCGGAACGCATCAAAAAACGCGTCACAACCCACGGCACTGCGTGTGCAGAAACTGGTGTGAACAAGCCCTTAAGCATGCAGAGCTGTACGCGCTACAATTTTCAAACTAACATTGTCACAGATTTGCTTCCTGCAAATGTCAATGTGCCAATAATAAAGAAACTAAAATGTAATTCATATTACAAAAAAAGTTGGTAAAGATTAATATTCAGGTTGTCAAGTGCTATTTGCAGCGAAATGGTAGGTGGATAGTACATATGATCTGCGGCCATTAAAATATGTGCATTGAGTCTATGTTTATCTTGGTATCTTCTGGTTTGTTCCCAGAAACATCATGTTGTATTATTGACATCCAACCAAAATGACCATAACATGTTAAGAAAATTAAATAATATATTTTGGGCAGTTCTGCATGGGTTAATGTTCTCTGTAAAATATGTCAATACTTTATAAATCAGTGAAAATAAATAATGATTCTTACAAAAAATACAGAAATAAATATAAAAATTGCTGTGTTAAAGATGTTTGGCTCTATTTAGAGTGCATTCACCTGTCAATATACAAGTGGTTTTTGATGGTGTTTTATCTTTGTATATTATTGGTTATGTCAATGTGTTTATTGTTAAAATGTTGATTAATAAAAATATGTGGTAAAAAAAAAATATACAAGTCAACATCACAACATCAACAGAAAACTATTTCTAACATTAAGCAGGAAATGTACACTTGGGCTCTTCTATTTTTTTTTTTTTTTTAGCCCGTGGAACGTGCATCGAAAACTACTTCCCCCTGTGAACAAAAAAAGTGAACCGTGAAATCACAGCACACAAAAAACGTGCACAAGGGTGCTTGGTCCTTCAATAAAGAAGGGACCTACTTTCCCGACCCCCCGGGGGAGAAAGGCTCCTGACAGGAGTTGAGTCTGTTGGTCCGAATGCTGGTGAACCCCGATCCTTTGGGGACCTGCTGGAACAGGCCCCGCACAGTACTAGGAGGGGGGCTCTCCCGAAGAGAGACCCCCCAGGTTGGGGGGAGACAGAGAACCCTATATAAGGTCACAGAATCTCCCCCCCACATCGGGAAAAGGTCCCGAAGGAACCTACACCCTCCGCATCTGTGGGTGAAATTTTCAATCAAAAAGTGCCAATCGTGCATATGGTGCAATAAATTAATAATAAGTGCCAGTGCACCACGCTGACAGGCCTTAGGGGCCGGAGTGCAAAAATATTGGCCCAGACTAGCCATAAGGCCTGTCTCGGAGGCGATGTGCAGAGAATAGCAATATGGTGTCGTGTCCAAGTGCACAGTGAATCACTTGTGGGGTTTCACACCATAGTGATTTCCTGATGCACCCCTGGGACGCCACCCCCAGGGGGCACAACACCACGGGCTTCTGCCGCCCCCAACCCTCCAGCCAGACCAAGCTTCACATCTGTTCAATCAGAAAGCCATGTACTGGGCTGTTCCCCTCTCACAGGAAGCAGCCCCACACGCTCTTTCACTCCAGCGAGTACTAAGTAACCATCCCCCGCAAGGACGGTTCTTTTCCCCACCGAAAACTGATAAGAACAGATACTACAATTGATCTTAGCTGAGCTCTTCTATTGCCCATTCTGACCAACCAGATTGTTTTTTGTTTTTTTTTATTCCCAGCAGTAGCTGCAATGTGGCTGACAGCTAATAGCACACAGAAACTTTCCTTATGGATACCTGTGATACATAAGCCACCGGGCTATAAAAGAAAAAAAACTATTTTACAGCTTTCTGTTTTGGTATAAAGATGAACAACTACTGCACAATGTTAGCCGCATGCACAAGTGTTTGGTTATTTTTCAACATTCACTACGTGCACTGTACACAATGTTCTTTTCCAGTTCTCTATGATGTCTGTGTATACTAGCCCCATGAATAATGCACACAGTACTACCCAATCAGATGCACCTTTCACTGGCTGAATTTTATCATTTTTTTAATCACAATGTAAACACGATCCTATAAAAAAAAAAGATGCAAGTTTTAGTGCGGTTAACAAAACAAACCATAGTGGAGGGGAGTGGGCACTAAGAGAAATGACATCAGCGTTTCCCCAAAGAATCTGACACCAGTAAAAACACAACCTGCTGAGAGTGTCCATTGAGCAAGCAGAATGTAGATGTGGCTATTGGCTATGTCTAAATGTACATGCAGGGCTTGCCTGATTAACTTAGAGCCTAAGGGAGATAGTTGATTGCAGTTATCTAATTTACAGTAAGGTATTCAAGATTTAGAATTAGGAGCCTGGAGGAGGTTGTGCTGTACCATTATATCTCAAGTGGATTTACATCCAAGAGAAAATGCATTGCTAAATGTTTATCACATGACCTATTTGTGTTTCTACTGCAAGCGTATGTAAACCCCAACAATAAAATTATCATCTTTTTTGCTCCTTTTTGGTCTGTTAAATAAACACATGAAAGGGATTTGTTAAATCTATGCTATAAATACCTGTTGATACTTCCAGACATACAGTTAATTTGTAAATTCCTGTGCACTCTGCAGCGTAATCCAATTATCTCAAAACACCCCCCATTTGTTATGGAGATAAGGAGAGGGGAGATGTTCTGCAATCCTAACACACATTTCCTGTTCTAGGGTGACAACGCTGCTCCACCATAGTCCATACTCCACAGTACTTTGAGTGAGCCTCGTCACCCTAGGACAGGAAGTGTGTTATTGGCAGGATCACCAGGTGAAAATAAAGGAACACATTCAATTATCAGGTGACTGCATCCCATCAGATGCAGTCAATGTTTGGGTATTCAGACAGACGTGGGTGTTGCAGCTGCCTGAATACAGTAACTTGCAGCACAGATTCCTCTATCCAGGCTGCTTACTGTAGATGGAGACATCTGTTAGCATGATATATACTGTATATATATAGCATGATATATGTTACATGTAGTTACATGCATTTAGTCATTTTCAAATAATTTCTAGCACGTTTCAGTTTACAATAAGTAAACCTATCATGTCCGCCAACATGAATAAACTAATTGGTACAAGGCAGGTATCTTGCCTGAAAGTACCTGTAAATATTTTTAAATCATCCCTACAGGGTGGGGCTTGAAGGAAATCTGTAAATAGCGAATTACCTCTTCTTCTGAAAATGCTGGTGATCTGGCTTCCCAGCTGATCCATTTACTTTAAGAGTCACTGACTTTGAACAAGTATGCAGATTAGGACTTCCAGTGTAATTGTTGCATGCTTGTTCATAGTCATTTAAGTGTATTACTGGGCAAATAACAGAAAAACATATTTTTAATGCATCTTTCCAATACATGTGTATTCTGCCTATGCACTAAAACCTCAAGCAGTGTTGTCAACCATGCCAAGTTCTGTGGACTACAGAACACCTCCAAATGTTATGAAGATATGAAAAGTGGAAGGTGTTTTGGGTCACAATGCTGTACTTGCACAGATACAGCAAAGTGAATAAGCATTGTCATTGCCCCCTTCTTCAATAAGAGAATGTCTAGTATTCATTGAGAAAAATACTAGGCACCCTCTAAATGTCCGCTATACTCACTGAGCGACTCTCCGCTGGAAGCCGCTGAATCTCTCTCCGATCATTGCGGGGAGACCCGCCGAGCCGCTCCCAGGCGCCGCACGGGGACAGGAGTGCACAGGGAAGATAACTGCAGCCGCGGCGGGGGGGCACTGCCGCATGGTACAAACGATTCAGATCGCTTGTACATTAACAGCCATCGCTGGCTGTTAAAAACGGTACCAAGAACACAGCAGCTGCAGCAGCCGTGTTCTTGTTTTAACCACTTTAACGGGCCGCCGCCTATAGATGTATTGCGGCCCGGAAGTGCAAGGATGGCGTCCTCCAAATTACTCACCCCACATAGATCAAGGGGCTTCTACAGGATTTAGGCAGTTCGCTCATTAGTTATACACAGGCCCGTCTTTAATACTGATCGGACCCTGGGCAAACATTTTCTAGGCATCCCCCCCCCGGAATTTCTCTCACCTCCCCAACACCCAGAAAAAAAAAAACAGCACACATAGATCATAGACTTCTCTCAAAAAAACTTTGACTGCAGGATTTCAAACCGATTGCAAGCTCAGTCGTTTATATTAGGGATGCACCGATATATGGGCCGCCGAAACATATCGGCCGTAAATGCCACTTTTGGCATCATGTCTCCAGGGTCTCAGGATGACTCTCAGGTGGTCAGTGCGGGGATCTCTGGTGGTCGGTATGGTATTTAGTCAGACTCAGGACATTCCAACATACAGTACATTACAAAAAGCCTGCATTTTATCG